TCTCTCCTTCCTGACTTGAGACAGTTGTCCCCTAACTTGTGCAAGGTCCAACCAATGAAGGGAGTGTCTTCCAGTGACTCCAGTCTTGCACAGCTTCTTGATACCACTTTCACAAATATCGTCTTGATTTTGGACTACCGACTGCTCAAATGTAGTATTTATTTGTATGACAGACTGATAATTCAGATGTTTATCCAAAAACACTCTCCACTACAATTTAAAAACAACTTTACACTTCCCACATAATGAATTCATTTTCACAGTAAAATGAATATCCAATTTCACAGTAAATTAAAATCCACTGTGTGCAAAATTAAATTAAATAGTTCAGTTGCAGCAATGAATTAGTTTTTTTCAAAATTTACTCAGAGGATGTGGGTGTCGCTGGCTAGGTCAGCGTTCATCACCAATCATGAATTGCCCTGAGGGCAGTTGAGATTCAAAACTACATTTCTGAGAGTGTGGAATCACTTGTAGGCCAGGCAAAGTAAGGAAGGAAATAAAAACCAAAAGAACTGCGGATGCTGTAAATCAGGAACAAAAACAAAGTTGCTGGAAAAGCTCAGCAGGTCTGGCAGCATCTTTGGAGAAGAAAACAGAGTTAACGTTTCGGGTCCAGTGACCCTTCCTCAGAAATGAGGAAGTTCTGAGGAAGGGTCACCGACCCGAAACATTATCTCTGTTTTGTCCTCCACAGATGCTGCCAGACCTGCTGAGCTTTTCCAGCAACTTTGTTTTTGTTCCCAAGTAAGGAAGGACATGAGGAGTGAACCAGATGTGTTGTTCCTGGTAAACAATGGTTTCTTGGACAATATTTGCATTTTTAAAGCCAGATATTTTTTATTGATTTCAAATTCCAAAATCTGCCAAAGCAGGATTCAAACCAAAGACCCCAGAATTTTACTTGGATCTAAGGATTAATATTCTAGTGATAATACCACTCTGCCATCACCTCCCCTAACCCATCAATCTTAATAGTAAAGGAAAATACAGATAAGATTGCAATCAGGGGAAAAAAAACTACTCAATTAATTTAGACAATACCTATGTTTAATCAAGGTAAAACATTTGAACATTGAGCACCAACTCTTTCATAATACCATTTGCAAATAACCACAACTGAAAATATTTGTATCAAATACTGCAACCTAAGCTATTAATAAAAGGCAAAATAAACGTATCCTACTTGAGTTACTCAGCAGCTTTCACTTTGGAATATTCAGGCAAACATTTTAAGAAGTCAACTTTACAAAGTAAGTACTCTCAGTTCAATGTGGTCAATAATGAATAATGAATATATTTCTAATATTAAAGTTTGAGCTATATTAATGATTTAGAAGAGTTAAATGCTAGTTACAGTAATAGCAAAATACTGTAGATGCTTGTAATCGGAAATAAGAAAAAAACAAATGCTTGAGAAACTTAGTAGTCAGCCAGCATCTGCAGAGAGAGCTAATGTTTCAGGTCGATAACATTTTGTCAGATCCAAACAGAAAAGGAAATGTAGGAGTTTGTGTCAGTAGAAGGGTGGAAGGGGTCAAGGATAACAAAACGAAAAAATCTGAGATAGAATGGATGCCGGTGGAGATTAAATAATGATGATTACATGATGCAATAGCCAGAAGGAGTTATAATGGATATATTGAAGCAAAAAAGATTGTGTCCACAAGACATGAAATACTATATGCAAACTATTTCTATGCGACATAATAGGATAAAGAACAAATGAAGATGAAGACAACCCCAACAAAATGAATTATATGAAAGGAAAATGTGGAACAAGATTGAGGCACAGATCATAATTTAAAGTTTTTCAACTCCACGTTCAGTTCAGCAGACTGTAGCATCCAGAGTCAAAAGATATGTACTGCTCCTCAGCTTGTGTGAGCTTCACGAGAAGTGAGATGGGCAAAATTGGTCAGTATTAGACCAAGTTAGATAATAAAAATGACAATTAAGCAGAAGCTCAGGGTCAAACTTGTGAAGAGATCAGAGATGTTCTCCAACGCAATTATCTGATTGCATGTGGTGTGGAATGGACGATAAGACACAGGAGCAGAAGGAGGCCATTCAGCCCATTGACTCAGCTCCATGATTTTAAAAGATCATGGCTGATTTGATAACCCAAGTCCTCTATGAATCTTGTATATTTTTCATTTTTCCAACAAGTACAACCTCTCCTCATAAGACAGGCCCTTCATACCTGGTATCAGCCCAGTGAATGTTCTTTGGACTGCCTCCAATGCGAATGTACTTCTCCTTAGGTAAGGGACCCAAAACTATTCACAGTATTCCAGCATGGTCTAATCAGTGCATTATACAGTTTTAGCAAAATGCCCTTACTTCTAGGTTTCATTCCCTTTGAAAGAAAAGCCAACATTCCATTTGCCTTACCTATTACCCGTCAACCTTCTGGAAGAATCGTGGAGTTTCCTCCTTGATAGCATTGAGAGTCTAACTACAGCACAGCAACTGCAGCAGTTCAAGGCAACAGCTCATTATTACTTTCTCAAGGGCAATGAGGGATGTTGACAATGAATGCTGGCCAGCCAGTGACACCCACATCCAATGAATGAATAAAAACTTGGTTTCGAGCTGTTTGAGATTCATAACTGAAGACTTCCAAATCTGTGTAGCTTTCTGCAGTCTTTCTCCATTTAAATAATATTCAACTCTTCTATTCCTCCTGCCAAAATAACCTTACATTTTGCCACATTACATTCAATCAGCTAAGTTTTTGCCTACTCACTTGATCAGTCCATATCCATCTGCAGACTCCGACTCATCCTCACCACTTGCCTTCCGACTGATTTTTGTGTCATCCGCAAATTTGGCAGTAATACATTCACTTTCCTCATCCAAGTCATTAATGCATATTGTAAATAATGGTGGCCACAGCACGGATTCCTGTGGCACACCACAGGCTGCCTGCTGAAAATGCTCCCTTTATCGCAATTCTATTTGTTAGCCAATCCTCTATCCATGCTAATATACTCCCACAGATACCAGGAGTTCTTATAAAGTAGGCTATATGTGGTGCACCTTAGACTTTGTAGCAATTAATACAACCAAACAGCTTGCTAGTCCATTTCAGGGGACAAATGAAAGTCAACCACATTGCCATGAGTCTGAAGTCACATGTAGGCCAGACCAGGTAAGGCAGGCAAGTTTCCTTCCATTAGTGAACCAGATGGGTTTTTCCAACAATCGTCAATGATTTCGTGGTCATCAGTAGATTCTTAAATATCAGACTTTATGGAATTCAAATTCCACCATCAGCCTTGACACGATTCAAACTCAAGTCCCCAGAACATCACCCTAGTTTCTGGATTAATAGTCTACTGATAACACCACTAGGCCATCACCTCCCCTGAGGCCTTCTGAAAATCCAGCTATATAGAATCCAATGCTCCCCCTTTATCTATCTTGGTTGTTAACCTTCTCAAAGAATTCTACTAAATTTCTCAGGCATGAGACCACCTTCATGAAACCATATTGACTCTGCTTGATCCCTACAGAAAGCTGAAACAGGGTGACAGGCAAAGATGCACTTGGTGGGCACATCACACTGGATCTGGCAGAAATGGCAGAGAATGATCCATTGAATACAGAGGCTGATGGAGTGATAGGGGAAAACAAGCTTTTACTCGATTTCTGATGAAAAACATCAATCTGAAATGCTAATTCTGTTTCCCTGCACAAATCCTGCCTGACCCGCCAAGTTGGAGAAAGCTAGCAACTGGATAGTTACACTGTTATAGGTATAAATACTGGCACAGGACAGAAGCTACAGATAGCAAGTCACACTTCTGCAATACATTCTGAACGAAACTGAGTTACACTGCTCTGGAATGTTACTATTGTCAAAATATTACTAATGAGTTTAATGCATATTATTTTTGAAATGAGGTGATGCATCTGCACATATGCATTGTGACAGTTACAAACTGTATGTATCTTTAATCAGAGGTGTGAATCAGCAGAGTGGACTTTACAGGGTGGATCTGGGAAACTTTCTCAACAGTTGAAGGAAGCACCCAGCAAGTTCAAGTAACTGTTTCTATCACAAATGGGAAATCAAACTCATCCAAAGCTTGGACAGGACAATGGATTGTTTACGGTAAAAGATTGTATGCTTAAATCAGCATAAAAGAGAAATGTTCCTTTCTGTTGTTCAAGGTCCAAGCTGCTTGCAAAATTAATTATAAGTTAATAGTACAAATCTTAAATTAATATCATTATATGCTTTTCAGCTATTAATTGGAAATTAAAAGTTTTTTCTTAATCATTATTGATCTGTACGGATTGTAACAGTGCAAAAATTCAGATACATTCAAAAGTTTCAAACTTAGGTCAGTAAGTAAATAACATTGATAAGGTGAAGACTGCAAGCAATTTGTTACTATTTTAGCTAATCCTCGTGCCCGTCTGGTTACAAGTCCAAATCCTTAAGTAAACACTTCAGTGCAACAATGCAATTCAAATCAACACAAAGAATTCTGGAAATGTTTGTCAGTATCTGTGATGAGTAAATTAGAGTTACTTTTCTGGTTCATGGGATAGAGATCACAGCATTTCTTTATTTTTAACCAGAGAGAAAAGGACACAAACATATTATTAGATCTCACTTTTCCTTGTAACTGTAATCAAACTCAACACCTATTAGGATCCAAGATTTTGAATGCTGAATAAAACTAATTCCCTGAGCAAAGAAAATCTGTTGATCATAAATTGCGCACTGGAAATTGTGCATGAACATGTGATCCAAATCCTCATTCCTAATTAAAAGACATGAACACAAGTTGCTGTGACTGGAAGACACGAATTAGCATACAATTTTTAATTGTTCAGCTAAAATATGGGATAGGATAGGGTAGGGTGTGGGTCTGGGTGGGATGGTCTTCAAATGGGCCAAATAGCCTGCTTACACACTGTACGGATTCTACGGATTCTATTCCGTGGAAATCCAAACATCTTGGCATAATGTCCAAGGTACTTACATCAAATTCATTCAATGCTGCAGCCAGCTCACCAATGCCAATTGGTCCATGTTTGTCATCTGGCACTGAAGTAGACTGGGCTGCATTCGAAATTCCAGCAATAGCCTCTTGTACTTGTTTGAAGACATAATCGCGATTCACTCTGGTAGCAGCTACATCAGGGTGTCGGAGAAATGCTTGGGAGGCAGTATAGAGCATTGTTGCATTCTTCTTCAAAGCACCCCGAGCTGCTGCCATTTCATCCCTCGAGTGAAGATCTTTCAGTTCCTGCAATTGGGAAACAAAATCAGTTATGTACACCTTTTTAGCAGTTAACGTTTTTTGCTTCTCTGCTAAGAGATAGATGGCAAAAACTGTTGGGCACAGTGGTATTACAATTTAAGAGCATTAATGCTAACACCAAGAATGCTGATAGTAAGAGATTCAGCAATGAATCAAGGGGAGATTGTTAGATTCTCTGTTGTTGGAGACGGTCTTTGCCTGCTACTTTTGTGGTGCAAATATTACTTGCCACTTCACAGCCCAAACATAGTCAAATGTTGCGACTTTTCTGTATTTGAACACAGTATCAGAGTTCTCGCAAATGTTTTAATCCATTTATTCACATAATATGGTGATGCTGGTTAAGCCAGCATTTATTGCCTATCCCTAACTGCCTGTGTGGGAGTTCTTTTAACATGACCGGGCATTGCACACCAACTACCACACAGTCTGGGCAAATTAAGGTGTTGGTCCACTGTTTGAGATAACTGATAACCCAAAACAGCAATTCTCACTACCCAAATTAACCTATTACTTTCCTGTGACACCGATTTCTGCCTAAATATAGCTCTAATGCTCCACAAGCAGTAGCAATAACTAGCCCTGAACCCTGCTGAACTCTCACTCTCTTGCCTCTTTTTCAAAGAAACCCTGCAAGTTCTCCAACCTCTTGCTCTTTTTTAAACTCATCCTGTAGTCCTTTGACGTCTCTCTCTGGATTCTTCTTTTACTCATTCTTCTAACTGGAACTGACTGGTGTTGAATGTCTACAGGGTCTACTTTTGTCTATTCTTCTGACTGATGGTTACTATGTACAGACCCAGGGTCCTCATCCTCATCCCCAGGCCCTTCTTTCACTTGCTCTTCACCTACAGAGTGGTGAAAGCATGGAACTTGATACATCAGCAAATTGTAGCGATGAAAGAATTGAAACATCAATGGGTAAACCAGATTAGCATGCGGGAGAAAGGAAAGGAATAGAAGGATCTGTTGATCAGTTAAAGGAAGAGCAGTGGAAGGAGAATTGTGAGGTGTATAATCACTGTTAGGGACATGCTCCACCAAATGATCAGCTGCTGTAGTGTAAATACTCTGTAATTTTGTAGCAAGTCTAAGCAAATGGAAAAAATAAATACTGATTCATTCCAGTCACACAAATTTGAATTCCCTACACTTAATTACCTAACTATACAGATTTTTTTTTAAACTAGGCTACTTCTCTTGGTTAGAAAACCTTTAAATTTTCCACTGAGGCTGCTAGAAAATTAATCTAACTCATTTGGTGCTCTCATCTTAGCAAAATTACATACTGTGTACGATGAACACAGCATTTTTTGTCATACCTGCTGTCTTCTAGCAGCCACATAATTTAGTTTGACCATCTCCTTCCCGAATTCCTTGAAGCGACTGGCCAGATCCTGCTCATTGGTGGCATTCTTCACAGCATCCAAAGATTCCTCTACCTGTTAATTGTGGTTTAGACATAATGCCTTAAGTTGAAATGCACTATTTTATAAATGCTAAATTTGTGTAAGGATCAAGTCACACAATGTTATAAATAAATATTGAAACATTTCATAGAAGCTTGGGTCAAAGCTTTTATAGTAATAATATTTTCTCTGTCTGCTCATTTAACTGACACGTGCAAGTAACATTTTTATTGTCAGTTTATGAATTACTGTAATGTGTGAATGTTAAGACAATTAATATGTTAAAACATGATTAGCTATTTGAAATCTTCAGTAAAATCTTACAATTTTTAAATGAGTTAAAAGCCTCATGACATCCGCCATGTCAGCAAGGATCAACAAACGCGTTACTCCAGAAAGCAGAGCACGGGCTGCCCGAACCATGGTTCCACGCTTTACGGAAGAGCAGGGATCTTCTGCAAACTCTGCAGATGCAATTCTCATACTTTCTCCTAGAGAGAGAAGATAGAAACACAGTTAGAAATGAATTAATTTCACAGTTGCTCATAATTCAAGACTCAAAAAATCCAAAGGACTTCACTGTATTCTTCATAACTCGCCAACATTCCTACTATGCCCTGACATTTTTAATTACTCATTCAGGCAGCACATTCAATATTTCTACAATTTAGGAGCAAATTACTGCAGATGCTGGAATCTTGCACCGAAGACAAAAAATGCTGGAAATCGCAGCATTTCGTCAGAGCTGACATGAAGTGTGGAGGGGACAGCATTTGTATAAACTCAAAACATTAGCTTGCTCTCTCCAAGGATGCTGCCTGACCCGCTATGATTTCCAGCATTTTTTAATCTTCAGTTTCACATTTTTACCATCCTATTGGTGAAAGAATTCTCTCAGATCTCCTCACCTGAAAAGGTCTGCCCTCTGGACTTGGACATGTTTGCCACGGGGAAGAGATTCCCTCAATCTACTCGGTCTGTATCTCTCAAATTTTGTATATTTCAATCAGATTCCTCCAAAGAAAACAAATCTTTCACTTCATAAAATTTCCCCAGGCCCAGCTGACATATTGTACAATTTACAACCAAAATCAAGTCTTTACCTTGCCATTTTTTTAAAAAAGTGTTCATTCATTCATTCAGGGATTTGATTTGATTTATTATTGTCACATGTACTTAGGTACAGTGAAAAGTTTTGTTTTGCATGCTGTACAGGCGGATCATACCAAAGATCATAGGGTGACAGAACACAGCGAGGAATATAAAGTTATGGCTGCAAAGAAGGTGTACTAAAAGCAAGATCAATATTAGATGTGAAATTTGAGAAGTCCACTCAGGAGTCTAATAACAGACGTGAACAAGCTGTTCATAAACCTGTTGGTACGTGCGTTAAATCTTTTGTATCTGATGGCAGAGGTTGGAGATTATAACTGGGGTGGAAGGGGTCTTGGACGATGGCTGTCTTGCCAAGGCAGCGAGAAGTGTAGATGGAGTCAATGGATGGCAGGTTGGCTTGCATGAGGGGTACGTTCACAACTCTCTGTAGATTCTTAGAGTCCTGAGCAGAGAGGTTGCCAAACCAAGCCGTGATGCATCCAGATAGAATGCTTTCTATGGTGCATTTATAAAAGTTGGCGACAGTGTAGGTTCTACTCTCTGGAAGAGCATCTTTGCTCATCCCTAATCGTCCCCGAGAAGATAAGCAGTCTTCTGAACCACCGCAGTCTATTTGGAGTACATAACCCACGGAAGGGAGTTCCAGGATTCTGATACTGTAATTCTGAAGGGAAAGGTAATTGATAAATGACTTAACATGGTTGGCTTTAAGGCACTACCCTCAGGAGTGCCTGTAGAGAACTTCAGGAACTGAGGTGACTGACTAGCTACTACAACCACCTTCTTTTATGATATCAACTAGCAGACAGTATTCCCAGATTCACATTGACTCTAGTTGTGCTACAGCTCCTTGATATCAAAAGCTGTCACTGTCACCTCTGGAATTCACCTCTTGTCTGTGTTTGGACCAAGGCTGTAATGATCAAGAGATTAGTGACCCTGGCAGAACTGAGCATCAGTGTGCTGGTTATTGCTAAACAGGTCCTGCTATAGCACTATTGATGACCCCTTGCATTACATTCTTGATGAACAAGAGAACAGTAATTGGCCAGTTTAGATTTATCCTGCTTTTTATTCGCAGAGCATACCTGGACAATTTTTAAATTTCCACATAAGTATTACAGTGTTGTAGCTGTATTGGTACAGCTTCACTGGAGCCCAACAAGCTCTGGAGCACAAGCCTTCAGTACTACTACAACCAGAATATTGCCAGGATCCAGGGTGTTTTCAGTATTCAGCACCTTCAGTAATTTCTTGACGTCACATGAATATGGATATATAATCTTGGTAACATGCTGCAAATGCAATCAACTCATTACTGTATTTCAGAATATTCAATAGATCATATCCCCTCATGTGATCTTCATCAATATTGAAAGATTGTACACAAGATGACGGTTAAATAGTAGGTGAACGTAAACAGGAAAAAGTTTTATTTTTCCATGTACTTTGCAGCGGAGAGTCAGCTTCAAAACTTATGAACGAGATGTATAGGTTGGTATTTTCCGGATATTAAAAAACAGAAGTAAGTTTAATATAGAAACAAGAACCAATAATAGTGCTGATATAATTTATCAGTGACCTAATTTGTATGTGCAAATATAATTGTCCCCAATTAGGATTATTTACATTACAAAGACAGAGGTTGAGGGGGGACCTGATTGAGGTCTACAAAATCATGAGAGGTATAGACAGGGTGGATAGCAAGAAGCTTTTTTCCAAAGTGGGGGCCTCAATTACTAGGGGTCACGATTTCAAAGTGAGAGGGGAAAAGCTTAAGGGAGATATGCGTGGAAAGTTCTTTACGCAGACGGTGGTGCGTGCCTGGAACGCATTGCCAGCGGAGGTGGTAGAGGCGGGCACGATAGCGTCATTTAAGAGGTATCTCGACAGATACATGAATGGGCAGGGAGCAGAGAGGTACAGATCCTTGGAAAATAGACGAGAGGTTTAGATAGAGGATCTGAATCGGCACAGGCTTGGAGGGCTGAAGGGCCTGTTCCTGTGCTGTAATTTTCTTTGTTCTTTGTAATTACATTTAATAGCAATTTTAATGCCGCAACATCATGGCACTTCAGAGTTCCATCAATACAATAACATTCAGTATAACCAATTTAGAACAAAAAAGAACAATGAACAGCTCAGCACAGGAACAGGCCCTTTGGCCCACCAAGACTACACCGCCACGATACCTTTCTGAACCAAAAACCCTTTCACCTCTATGCAATCTGCACCCTTCCATTTCCTGCTTATTCATATCTGTCAAGATACCTCTTAAAACGTTGCTATTGAATCTGCCTCCACCTCCTCCTCCAGCAGCGCATTCCAGGCACTTAACACCCACTGTGTAAAAAACTGGCCTCTCCAATCTCCTTAAGCTTTCCCCCTTTTACCTTAAAAGGTACATCCCCTACTAATTGACATTTATAGCCTGGGAAAAAGGATCAGACTATGTATTCTGTACATGCCTCTTAATCTTGCAAACTTCTATCAGGTCGCCTCTCATCCTTTGATATTCAAGTGAAAACAAACCAGTTTGTCCAATCTCTCCTCATAGCTAATACCCTCCAAACCAGGCAATATCTTAGCAAACCATTTCTGTATCCTCACCAAAGCCTCCACACTGTGTACAGTTCTAGTCACCACACCACAAGAACAAGAACAATCTTCCAAATGTAGCCTACTAAAGATTGTGCAGCTGCAACATGACTTGCCAATTTTTATACTCTAAGCCCCAACTGATTAAGACAAGCATGCTATATCCCTTCTTGACCACCTTATTCACTTAATTTGCCACTTTCAGGGAACTGTGGACCTATGCATCTGGATCCCTCTATATGCTGATGCTACAAAGAATTCTGCAATTTACTGTAATCTTTCCTCCTGCATTAGATCTTCCAAAATGCATCATCTCGCATTTGTTCGGATTAAATTCCATTTGCCATTTCTCCACCCAAGTCTTCAGGCTATTTGTTACGAAAAAAACTTGAAAAACATTATATTCACATTATTATTTGAGTTTGTGATGTGTTTTGGCAGGAAGAAATACTTTTCAAATCAGACTGTCAACATTGCTTGGATCACTTATTCACATTCACTTCAAATAGTGCAGTATACTGTAATTTGAAACAGAACTTCAGCTTTATGTCAGATACATCATTAAAATTTTATGCATACAGATTAAGGTTACTCGAGATAATCTTTGAAATCATCCTTCGCTTCAATTTTTATATTGCCTAAAAAAAGTAATTTAAACCCTCTTGGATTCCAAGATAGACCCACAGCGCAGCGACTCTTTGCAAGCTGTTCCCAGCAATCATCTAACATTTTTTACAATCGTTACCTTGATGTACTTAAGGTATGATTTGGCTGGACAGCACACAAAACAATACTTTTCACGATATCTCAGTAGATGTGACAATAATAAATCAAACTAAGAAATATTAAAATAAAGAGCTCAAACTTACTACCTATCATAGAACATAGAATATAGAACAGTACAGGCCCTTCGGCCCACGATGTTGTGCCGACCTATTATCCTACTAAGGTCAATCTACCCTGCATACCCTGCATTTTACTATCCTCCATGTGCCTATCCAAGAGTCGCTTAAAAGTGTCTAAACTGTCTGACTCCACTACCACTGCCGGCAGCATATTCCACACGCCCACCACCCTCTGCGTCAAGAACCTACCTCTGACATCTCCCCTATACCTTCCTCCACTCACCCTAAAATTATGCCCCCTCGTAATAGTCATTTCCACCCTGTGAATAAAGTCTCTGACTATCCATTCTATCTTTGCCTCTCATCATCTTATAAACCTCTATCAAGTCACCTCTCATCCTTCTTCGCTCCAGTGAGAAAAGCCCTAGCTCTCTCAACCTTTCCTCACAAGACCTGCCCTCCAGTCCAGACAGCATCCTGGTAAATCTCCTCTGCACCCTCTCTAAAGCTTCCACATCTTTCCTGTAATGAGGTGACCAGAACTGAACACAATATTCCAAGTGTGGTCTAACCAGAGTTTAATAGAGCTGCAGCATAACCTCACGGCTCTTAAATTCAATTTCCCTGCCAATGAAAGCCATCACACCATACGCCTTCTTTACAACCCTATCAACTTGGGTCGCAACTTTGAGGGATCTATGGACGTGGACCCCAAGATCCCTCTGTTCCTCCACACTGCCGAGAATCCTGCCATTAACCGTGTATTCTGCATTCAAATTCGACCTTCCAAAATGAATCACTTTAGGTTTATTAAAAAAAAAACAAACATTTGTTTCTAACATGGTAATCCCCCCGTTACAATCAAAAATTAATTTTCTGCATTTCAAAAAGAAAATATTTAATATAACAGCTCTTCAATCCACTTGGTTGCC